CCCCCCCCCCCCCCCCCGATTCTTCTGTAGGAAGAGGTTTTCCCAACATTTGGTCTGTCTAGACTGGACCAAATGTCAGAAAAAAACCCTTCTTTTGAAAGCTCCCTTATTCTTCGTTGAATGCGCAATACAGCAGTTACCAAAAGAGCATGTTTGTTCTTCCGCTAAAAAGAAGCAGAACAAACACGTCCCTGGATGCAGAAGAGTTTTTCTGGGATACCTCTGGAATCCCGGAAAAACTCCTGCAGTCTAGCTGTACCCTTGCTGGGTTGTGACAGGATGTGTGGGCTCTGGGGTGGGAATGAGGGATTTGGGTGTGAGAAGGAGTGAGAGGTACAAGCTCTGGGAGGGAATCTGGATGCAGGAGGAGGTAGAGAAGAGGATGCTGGCTCAGAGAGGGGGCTCCAGGCTTGGGAGTGTTGGGGGTACTGAGCAAGGAGGGTAAAGGAGTTTGGGTTGGGATACATGAGGGGCTCAGGACAGGAAGGTTGGGAGTATAATGGGCTCAGGACACAGATTTGCAGTGTGTGGATGGTGCAGAAGTGTTGTGGCAGAAGACTGAGGATGTGCGGGTGCAGGAGTTTGGGGATGCGAGAGGCTCAGGACAGGGGGTTCCAGTGTATGACAGGCTCAGATCTAGGGTCGGGGGGGGGGGAGTGTTGCAGGAGTGTTATAATGCTGTGGCCAGATGGGGGCTTGGCCCCAATTGGGGATTTGTTGCCCAGGCTTCATTTTAAAATAAAATACTATGTCAAACACAAAAAGTTTCTGCATTGTCTTTATTTATGATGCGAGAGGCTCAGGACAGGGGGTTCCAGTGTATGACAGGCTCAGATCTAGGGTCGGGGGGGGGGGAGTGTTGCAGGAGTGTTATAATGCTGTGGCCAGATGGGGGCTTGGCCCCAATTGGGGATTTGTTGCCCAGGCTTCATTTTAAAATAAAATACTATGTCAAACACAAAAAGTTTCTGCATTGTCTTTATTTATGAGAAGGGCAGAGAACCTGTTTTGAATCAGGGGTCATTGACCCACAGAAAACTCAGTTGGGGCCACACAAGTGAGATGCAAAAAAAATAACTCCTCCAAACACCTCCCCCCCACCCCAAAGCGGACGGGGTGCCGGGGGGGGAGAGGACAGGGTGCCAGTGGGAGCAGGGGACAGGGTGTTGGTGGGGCAGGGAACAGAGTCCCCAGCATGCACCTCCTCCCGGGACTCCTACCCAGTCCTCCCCCAACAGAAGAGGAAAGCCACAACGCACGCCTCCTCTCAGGACTCCTTCCCTCCCTCTCCCCTCCGCAGAAGGGGGAAGCTCCCATGCGCACTTCCTCTGGGGACTCCTCACCCCTCCACAGAGAAGGGAAGCTCCAGTGCACGCCTCCTCTGGGGACTCCTACCCCCTCCCCCACGCAGTAAGTCCCCGACATGCTGCAGACCTGGGTTGTGGTACCACACCAGCTGCTTGGGGGAGGGGGAACAGCCAGCGCACTTCCTGAAACTCCGGAAGTGGCGCGCAGCTGCCGGATTTCCTTTCACCCTGCAGGAAGCTAGCACTACCTCCATTGTTGCTGGAGGTAGGTAGTGGGGCTTCTTGGAGGTGAGGGGAAATGGGGGGGCCCCCGAATGCCTCGCAATCAACTGGTTGAGCCCTCCCGATCGATGGGTTGGCGACCACGGGCCTAGGACATGCATTTTCTTTTTCCATCTAGAACACTCTTGCACAACAACACTTTGAAACATTTGCCTCTTAATTGGCCTAGTAGCTATGGGTGGACAGATTCTTTGCATTAGTCAAGGAGAGTAGGTGTGGTGGCCCCAAGCAAGGCAGAGGGATGCCATTCTTACTTAAGGAATACTCATATGTTAAAGCAAATCAACCCAAATAAGACCCACCCGCTTCAAAAATAGGAATTCCATGGTAGTAATGAAGGACTGCACCACTGTTTTAAAATAGCGGGGAAAAGGACAGCAGGAACCCTCATGGGGGAAGGGCGCAAATTTCAAAAGATTACTTGGAGAGTTAAAATGTATGAGAAGTTATGCCTGAGATAATGAGCATAAAGAAACTTTAATTTATTTACATTTTGTGCATCTTGCTATTTGAATAGAGAAATTACTTTAGGTAGTTCTCCTGAACTAGCTCAATATTGTGAATGCTACAAAAAGCTTTAAAACAAGACATGACTTTCACTAAATATTTGATCCTAGCAATATTATGTTTTGGCTTGCAAGGTAAATGATCGTTAACATTTTCAGATTTATTAGAGGTTTTGCTCTTATTTAGACCCTAATTATGCAACCTTTGTTTTTAAACAGAGTTCCATTAAAACTTGAATTACATGCTCCTTGGGCGGGGCACTGGTGATCCAGTGGGGTTGGTGTAAAACGAATTAATAATTTAACGAAAAGAGTTAAGATCCTTGACCCGAAAAAGGTTACAGCCAGTTCTAATAGCTATTTTCTATCCCATCTTCATTTCAATCTACCAACCTGACACAGGCTAGCTTAGCTCATTTTAAGAGACTCACTGGCACCATCTACCGTTGTGAAGGTAAGGGATTTCTGAAGAGCGCCCCATGCCAAGGCAGCTCGCCTGGACCCGAGCTCTCAGAGTCCCAGTTCGAGGCCAGCAGAAATAACGCATGATGTAATGAGTTTCCCCATGGTCCAGCACCCCACTTTTCAGAGCGCCGGGAGACAAAGCACTGACCTCGTGGGGGGGGATCCAGGCCGGCGGGTTCTCATAGGGCGGTAGGAAGACGACGGGATAATCGTCATAAGGGATCCTGCTGTCCATCGCGAGAGCGGCTCTGCAGGGAGAAAGCGAGGCGTCCCGTAAGCACCTGGGCTACTGAGCCCCACGCCCGACCCGCGGGGAGCGCGGCCCGTCCAGCTGCGGCGGGACAACAGCGAGCTGCCCCCGCGCAGAGAGGGCCCGGGCCGCCGCTCCTACAGCGCTCAGAGTCCCTATGCGCCGGAAGGCCCCGTGACTGGAGCTCTGCCAGAGGGAGGCCAGTCCGACACCCCCTCACCGTCCGGCTTCCTCGAGCCAAGCCCACAGCGCGATCATGTGACCGACACCGCTCACGTGACAGCGCTCGTCGCGCACGCCCCCTAGTTACGTGCAGGGGATACGTCTCCCGCGTACGCGGTGACGTACCATGCGTTGCCCCCTGCCATTGGCGGGCGGGTTGGTTTGAATGTTGGCGGTCGGAGACGAGGATAAGTGGTGGCCTAAGGCAGCGGTTACCTTCCGCACGAGCTACCCTGCTGATTCGGGGCGCCGGGCCTGCGGCCCTTGTTCGTCGCGACTGGGCCTCCGCGCAGGCAAGTATCTTCGCCCCCCCCCCTCCGGGCTCCGCGGCCCGGCCCCTTCTCCGCTCCCGCTCAGGCCGCCGGAGCGGGACCCGCGCTCCCCAGTGAGCTGGCTGGGCTGCCCCGTGGCATCGCCGTGACCCGCTGCGTGCGGGGCAGGGCCTCCCGCTCCAGGCTCGGCCGTGACCCCCGCCGGCCCCCGAGAAACGGGCGTAGCTAGCAGCGCCCGTGCCCCGCTGTGGCTGAGCCCCGCCCGCAATGGCAGGGGAGGAGCGAGATCCCCGCGGCCCGCTCCACCCGGCGGAGCCATCTCTGCTGCCAGGCCCCTTCCATCACCGCGCCCCCCTCGCCATCTCCGCCCGCCCTTGTTCCCCGCGACGCGGCTTGAGGCGGAGGCCGAGTGGAGCCCGATCCCGGCGCTAGCGCCGCCGCACTCAGCCCACGCCTGTCTCCGTTGGTTTCCTTCCGGGGGCTGTGTTGTGAGTCTCACCGAGCCTTCTCCATGGCCCGGTTGTCCCGGTTCCTCCCGTGAGCAGGTCCCTGGGGCAGGCAGTGCCTTGCGTGCGGATGGTACGGCATGATGATGCTCTCTTACAGAAGGGGCTCGGTTACTATGGTGACTGGACACGGAACGGGTACGAACAACTGAGGTTCAAGGAAGTGACGGTTGTGCAGCACGTCAGTATCACTTGGGGAACAGGGAAGCTGAAAGCTGCTTCTGTTTCTTCGGAACCTCAGGTGACACACACCCTGCTAAGGATGTTAAGTAGAGAGTAAATGACTAATCGTGTGCTCAATACGATCTGTATGGAGTACATGATTAGTTGATAAGAGGCCACTGAGGCTCCTGGTTTTCTCCCCTCCCCCAACCCATTACTGCCTCTGATATTGAGGCAGCGGGGGAGGGAGACAGATCACAAACACTGAGCACAGCCATCAGGGTGGGCATTGTGGGATACTGGTGGAAGCCAGTTTATTTGGCAAAACAAACATCAGAACCCACACCGGCTCTTTGTCAACAATAAAGGAAAGGGAAAAGACAAAAGTCTTCCAGGATAGAAGGGTGTGTTGTTGTTGCCAAAATTGAGTCCACCCGGCTGGACAAAAGTGTAAACAATCTCATTGTTTTGTTGCCAAAAGGCAGTTTTTGCTCATGTAGACAAGATCTGATTGAAGCAGTGTCACCTACCCAAAAACATCCTTCAGGGCCGCTGCTGCTCAAAGCTTTTGCAAGGAGTAGAGTCATTAATGACATGACTGATTTTATGACAGCTATTTAGAATTTCATGGCTAGCCTTGAAACTGCGGTCCTAAGCATGGTTTTGGTAGCCCTATGTGGCTGCTCTGGCTCAGCCTGCCATGCTGCGGGAAGAAAGCTGATTAACTTTTTCCATCCCTAATTGGTACAGCTATGCCACCATAATGCTTCTAGTGTAAATGAATCCCAATTGTCCTAAAATCCAATTTTGTTTTAAATTAAAGGTTAAATTATGCAGCAACTGTTGGCTTAAGACAGTGGTTCTCAAAGTGTGGTCTGTAGACTTGTAGTGGTCTTGTGTGTGGAGCTGCATTGGCCCACCTACACATCCCATTGTGAGGTTGGCTTCCTGCTACAGGAGGAAGCCCTGAGCTTCGCACGCCAGATGCAGCTCCAGTTTCGCATGCTGCTGCTCACCTCTTTCCCAACTAGGGAAATGGCAGTGCAGGAAACTGGTCAACTGGGGGCTTTCCCCACCCCTCCCATTGGCCAGAGTCCTGTCCAGACCTCCCCCTCAGCCCACTCCTGCACCCTACTTCATACCTTGGATGCTGTGCCCCACCCCGTTTTACACCCATTTTGCCATCATGTGTGGTTGGCTGGTAGTCCACAGAAAGATTTGCGTTGAGCAGGGTGGGCCAAAGGTCAAAAAAGTTTGAGAACCACTGGCTTAGGGCTTCTCATTTATAAGCAGGCTTGACAAAACGTGCTGAAATCTACTTGCCAGCCCCACACTGCACATGCACAAGACCCGCATTGCACGTGCTGCCGGTGAACGGGGCGACTGGCTGAAATCTCGCCATGGGCGAGTAGATTCACTGATTTGTCAAGCCTTGCTTATAAGCATAAAGTTTCTTTGTGCGGTGAATGTGATATAATGGAATCATAGACCCTTTCAATTTGTGACATTTGAGGGGAAGGCAGTGCAGTCTGTGTGAAGCTGAATGTGTCTTAATTCTCAGAGCACTTACCCAGATGGATAAAGGAAATTTAACTGATAATACTTACAGTGAGGACACACCTAATTTTATGTCTTTGATTTTTTTAGGAAAGCTATTGTAATCTGAAATGGTGAAAGAGGATGAGAAAGTGATTCCTGTGCGTGTGGCACTCCGCTGTCGCCCTTTGGTCCCCAAAGAGATTAGTGAGGGATGCCAGATGTGTCTATCCTTTGTGCCTGACGAGCCCCAGGTTAGTAAATGCCTTGGGTATTAAGGGTCAAAATCTTTCGCTTACACCAGAATCATTCCATTGATGTCAGTGTTTCAGTAGATGTGTACCATTGTAAATTAGCTGAATTTAGTTAGTATCAAGTAAATAAAACCCATTAACTGCAATGTATGTCGCTGCTTGTTTTCTCCTCTTTCCCATAGGTGATTGTAGGCAATGACAAATCCTTCACATATGATTTTGTGTTTGACCCATCTGCTGAGCAGGAGGAAGTCTTCAAAACCTCTGTTGCCCCTCTGATACGGGGCATCTTCAAAGGTGAGAGCCTGTTAACTTGTTCGTAGTAACAAAGTGAAATTCTCTTTAAAGATGCTGTCACCTCTATGAGCTGGGTTCAGGGTGGCATCTCAAAGTTAAGTGAAACAACAAAAGTATCCAGGTAAGATTACTTGGTTATCCACTGTGACTTCTTCTCTCTCCCCCCTTTTGCCCCCCCTGCACACACACATACCTTTCCATGTATTTAGAATGCTTCTCTGATTAGAAATCAATCTGGGGTTGCAGTAGTGAGTGCCAAATCCTGCCTATTTACTGGTAGCATGGCATTCCACTGGGCCACCAAGATGACTCGTGCAGTCTCACTGAGCTTCAAAGAAAGCAAAAATGGACTGACAGTTTTGGTGTTTGAAGTCAATGCTAAAAACCATATGATTGCTTGATCTGCACATTGTCACTTAAATGTTATGCTGAGATTGCTTATCTAAGATGTTGGTTAGAGAGAGATTTACAGAATAGTTAAATTGTTTCTGGCCTCTCTATTTTGAGCAATAGAATTAAGTTTAAATCTCCATTCGTACTTCATAGGCCAGAGAAAGCAGTTGGTTGTGTTCAGTATTTTGTTCTTAATTCAGCAGACTATGAATTATGCATTATTGCTGTGTAATTTGAGAGTGAGTGTCAGTATTTTACTGAATTGGAGAAGCTAGAATCTGGGGACATTGGACACAGAAGCATACTTAAGATACTCCAATCTGACAAAGGTCTCTTCTTAGATGAACTCCTCCTGATTCCAAGCATTCTTTGTTTCTTCAGGGTATAATGCTACTGTCTTGGCATATGGACAGACAGGCTCTGGAAAAACATATTCTATGGGAGGGACTTACACTGCTGATCAAGAGCATGAACCTATTGTTGGGGTCATTCCTCGTGTTATCAAACTGCTCTTTCAGGAAAAGGAACAGAGGCTGGAATGGGAATTCACCTTGAAAGTCTCTTATTTGGAGGTAAAAACTATTTACAGTTTCAAAATGTTAAATTAAAAGCAAATTTTGTAACTTGCAGCTTAAATAGGTTAGACTTTTTAGACACCCAGGATTCAGCTCACATGTCATGTTGGAGGGGTAGGTGGGACTGCAATCAGATTCCACTAAGCTCCTTCCCTTCCCCCCCCCCCCCCACAAAGCTCTTTTTTTGGGTTTTTTTTACAC